TTGGGTGGAAGTATCTTCACGCATTTGAGGTGAGGTTTCCAAAACTACTTTGCATCAGTGTCACTTCTTCCATTCAAAACGTGGTGAATTTTGTTCTTCTACCTCCTGTAGCTGTATGATTTGCACTGTTGCCTTCTGCAGGCCTGATGGGTTTTAAAAAGCGTAACTGAAATGCACATTAAAGACAAAATTCACCATAGCAACGAGTCCAGAAAGCACAGTCAAAGAATTACACCTTCTAACATCTGAATATTCTGAGCTGGCATTAAGCTTCAAAACTGGGGTGGTAACTAAGCTCGAGCTCTTGTCTAGCTGAACATCATGGACAAAATTCCCAATCTGCAGAGAAATCACAGCCTCCCAGTCTTACCCTCCTTTTTAGGACTATTGATGGCCCTGTGGCTTAAGAGCTGGAAGGCTTTTAACTGTAAATCGACACTCCTTCAGCTCTGCCACGCTCACATGTGCAGGCTGTCTGCAGCTATCAGCTAGAATGGAATCTGACAATTTGTATTCCTCTCCTGTTTCATTTGTATTTGTTATTTCTCACCTTTACTGACACGTACAGTGTATGGCAAAAGGCTCACACTATGCTGGCACCAACAGAAACAACTACAAACAATACAAGTCTCAGGTAAATTGTAAGGAATGCTGTGGGAGAAGTAACTTAAGCTAGATCTATTTTTACTTGTAGCCCCACATGAGATGTCCAAGGTCACTGCCACGGGCAAGCAGCGCTTGCCACGGCAGCCACATGGCTGAGGAAGCAGCTGGAGCAATTAAATGAAAACGTGAAGTTACTCCACAGCCTAAATGCCCTCATGGTGCAGTTCCTACACCTGGAGCCGGGATTCACATTCCAGAATAGCCCTGGAAAGGGAACAGCCTGTCCTTGCAGAAATCACGGGCCTGGTAAGTTATACTGAAGTCCAACATTGATAACACCAACAAGGAGTCGGGCCGAAGGAGAGCGATCCATCCTGACCTTGCAGTCACGTGCCGTGATCGGCTCCCGACAGTTCCTCCTTGTTTGAGCAGACAGGTTAAGTGGGGCGGCCTCAGTGACTTTGCCCCGGTCAGGCTGTCATTTAAAGGCTCCACAGAAATTCCATTTTCTCCAGGCACAAAGCAGCATCCCCGCGCCAGGGGCCGCGTTCAGAGGCGGGCCAGAGCCGGCGAGCCCCGGGAGCGGACGTGGGGAACGCAAGAGCCGCTGTCCCCGGGGCGGGGGCTCCGCGGGACCGCCGTTCCCAGCCGCCTGCCCGTAGCCCCGCCGCGGGACCGCCGCGGCGCGTGACCTCTAGGCGCGACCTCCCGCAGGCGCTGGCCGCCGGGCCCCGCCGCGGCCCGTAACGGCCCGCGGCGGCCTCTTGCCGCCCGGCAGGGGACACACACGCACACCGCACGGAACCCGCCGCCCTCCGGCCCCGGCCCGCGCCCTTCGCCCCCGGCAAGCGCTGCAGGGCCCGGCGGCCACCGCGACTCTTGCGGCTCCCGCCTGAGGCATCCGGCCCAAGGTCAGGGGCGCGCCCCGGCCAGTGGCCCGTTCCTCCCCCGCCTACCGTGGGGCATCCCACGGGCCGCCGGCCATGAACGCGCCGGGCTCCGCGGGCTTGCCGAGGCCCCTCCGCCTGCGCGCCCGCCCGCCAGACTGGAACCGGCGCGTGGGAGGCGCGGCCCCGCCGCCGGGGAGCCCGCCCGGGCCGCGCTGCCGCAGCGCCCGCAGCCCGAGCGCTGAGCCGCTCCCGACGCGGGCCCTCAGCTCCTGACTCTCGTTCCTTCGCTCCTGCCCCGGGCCCTCAGCCTCGCCCGGGCTGATCCCTCCCGCCGCGGGCCCTCAGCCTGCCTGCGGTTCCTCGCTCGCCGCCCGCGGCGCCCTCAGCGCTTGCGCGCTGCCCCGGCGGTCGAGCCCTCCGCCGCGGGGCTCCACGCAGCCCGGCGCGTGCGGGCGGTGCGGTGGCCGCCGGAGGCCGCGGGAGCCCCGTGGCGGTGTCTGAGGAGGCACCGCTGTGGCATCGACAAACAGAACCGGTTTTCCATTTCTGAAGCCTTTATAAAATCTCAGCTTCTAGAATCAGGTAGTTTACTGGGAAAATAGCTGTTGTTGCTAAGAAAGAAGAGCGTCAGAGTTTTGTGGCAGCAGATGAAAAACAAAACCCAGGCACTTTAAAGTATTAAGCCCCAAAGTTGTTGAAATCGGGGCACTTCGAGGTTGGTATTTGCCTTCCTTTCTGAGGCGCTTGTCTCGTTATCCGAAGGCGGTTCCAGGAGGGGCTGTGGGGGCCGGGGCTGCAGTGCCCCCTCCCCAGCACCGAGGCTGCTCCACATCCCAGAACTGATCCACATCTCAGAACTGATATTTGACAATAGACAAGATTTGTAGCCTCCATTTTCTGGGTGTTACTTGCCCCCTTTTTTTTTTTTCATCACAGGACACCAGAGGTACTCACACCTTTTCCTCTGTTGATGTTTTATCTTGGTTTTGATAGTGCTTTGATTTGAGAATTGCCACTCTGATGTCTGTAGGACAAGTGTGCAGAGTTCTCTTGATACTGATTTTCTTCTGGTAACTACTGCTGATTTTCACTTTTAGTCTTTAAAATCCAAATTGGCCTTGCAGATACCTGTCCTAAATATTTATGTGAAATATTGTTTCTTGGTTTCAAAGCTTGAGTATACTTTGCAAATATTGGCTCTTCTGTTGTGCCGTCTTTCTTTTCCACAGCTGATCCGTACATTCATCTTGTGTTCTTGTATTTCTAACTGTATCTGCATTTCTGTTCTGGGGTTGCACTTTGATTGTAAATTGAGGGGAGAAATTTTTCACACATATTTTTGAGACCTATTGATCTGTGTCTCGTGGGTGTCACCGTAATAAGGTTGCAGTAATAAGCCATTGACAGAGTCTGGTTTGGATCTGTCCTGAGAAGGGCTGAACAACACGGTGATAAACCCATCAGTATTTATTTTGCCTAGAAAAATTATGCCTGTGTAGAGATATCAGTACAGTCTTTCCTAGTGATCACTATATTAGACTCCCTATGAGGAAATTCATTCCATTAAATTTAGTCTGTTTAGGAAACCACTATTTATTTTTTTATTATTTTGTCCCTGAGGCAAGACATTGTCTTGTGCAAAGCACCTTAAAAAAAGGGTCATTTTTACTTATTATGGATAAATTAGGCTTAATGAAATGCAGTCAGAAACCTCCGTCTTCTAACACAGTGAATTTTTTTAAGCTAGACAGGTAAGATCATAAACCCAACAAATTTTCACACAAGCTTTTCTTTTGTTTGTTTTCTTTAGCATTAAAAACTCTCCTAAAGAGTTCCTGCTCATCAGAGCAAATGCAGTTTAATGGGACAGTTGGCACTTGCACCAGTTTGAGGGACATGAGTTTTGCCTCTTTCTCAAGCTGTTTATTCTTTCCTCAGGCAGGGCTCCAGCCCAGGAAGCCTTCTCTTACAGGAAAGCACTTCCAGACACATTTATGGGGTCTGAGCATCCTCCCATCCATCATGTGTTGGAAAAGCAACTTTTTTATCCACTGCAGTAGCATCAAACTGTCACTGGTAGAATCCATTTCTTTGACTGTTACAATTCTGATGTTTGTTTATCCCTGATAAGCCTTGTTGCACACAATCTCATCCCAAGCCGTTTATTTTGTATACATGGTAATACACTGTGGTTCTGTAGCTCAGGGCAGTGCTGGTTTGCAGCTACTCAAACCTGCATTCCAAATGTTATAATTTGAATAAGCCCTCTCTTAGAACGGGCTGTGGTTCAGCACTTTGTAGAATGTTTTTACTACACATCCAACACACTCCATAGGATATTTTTACTATGTATACGATATATTTGCTTTTGGTATTACTGTTAAATGTTTGTTCTTTGTCGTTATATGCCAAGGTAAAGTGAACTATTACCCAATTATCAGGTTATCAGGTCAGGATCATTAGTAGCTGTAGGGAAAAGCACAAGGCAATTCTTGGGAGTGGTTTTATTAACCTTGCTAACCTTCCTCGACGAGGAAATAATGACCATCGGCAGAGCTGTAAATAAAGACTTTAGTTTTACCCTCTCCCGTTCCTTTGTGCATGAATGGAAAGTGAACTTACAGCAGGTCTTTCTTCCTTGTTGCCATCCTTTCTCACTCAGCCTTCCTCCTGCTGTTGCTGTAGGAGCTTACCCTTCTGCAGATGTCAGATAATACAATTTTGTTCGAGTTTATTCATTTTGTCTGGCTGCTTCTCAGAGATGCTCTTTATTTTTTTTTAATTTTCACGGAAATAGTGTTGTGGTGAACTAAAACACCATCCCGGGAGCCCTCTGCTGGCACTTCGTGCTTGTGCTTTAGGCTGCGGTAGTATTTTTTTTCCTTCCCAGCTGTGCTTGCTTCAGCCTAAGGACTCAGATTAGCGTCTGTTAAACTGCTTTAATCTTGATGATTTTTATTTTTTTTATTATTTTTTTTTTTTTTTACTGTGAGAAAGGATGCCTCGCCACTGACTGTCCCGGGAGTTTTTGGCGGTGGCAAACGCGCCGGGCATTGAACCGTGGCAAGCGTTGAATGTGCGGGAATCTCACCGGCACCTGCGAGCCCCCCCGCAAGCCCTGGAAGGCCTTTTGGCCAGCTCTCCCGGCTTGGGGCAGGGCGGCCGCAGGAGCCTGTGCCAGCCGGGGCTTTTTCCCGCTGCCCAGGTTTCCCGCTCCCGTGGGGCCCTGGCTGTGCAAGCACGACTGCGCTGCCGAGCGCCACCGGCTGACGCAGAGCTGCTCCCGAACCTGGAGGTGCCGGGAAGAGCGTCCTGGAACCCCGGAGTGAGCCCTGAGGCACCAGGGAGCTGCTCTCCGCCAGCACCGCCCGCTCGGCTCTGGGCTTATAAAAGCTCCGTGTGCCTCTCAGAAAAGCACCTGGAGAAGGGGAGTGTGGCATCGCTGGCTCTGGACGGCACCTGCCCGTGATTTCACACGCTCTTCCCTCCTGGCGCGCTCCACTCAAGCCTCTGCAAAGATTTCCCGGGGCCGCGTCCTTCCTCGCCGGTCGGGGACGGGCACAGCCAGTTCAATGCAGGCTCTGGGATTTTTTCGGCGCTCTCTCGGAGTATACGTGCTCTAAATGCCTACAATACAGAGGAATCCAGCTGCTCCTAATGGGATGCATTTGCAGAGAGGAAGAATTCCTCATTTAAGATGGGTAATAAGCAAACGATATTTACTGATGAACAGCTAGATGCCTACCAGGTAAGATATCTCGGTTTGCATCAGGAGATGGGAAGGAGTAATCTTCATATGTTTCTGATTCGGTTTTTTGTTTGGTTTGAGGAATGGTTTTTCTTTTTCTAATATAATTGAAAACTTCCTTTGTAACCTGCATGCACACATTCTACTATTCCTTCCAGCAACTGTAACATTATTCAAAGGCTGGGTTGTTAAATATACATAGTATAATTCCCTCTCTGTATACCAGGAAAAGTCACATCCTCAATGCCTGGACTAGGAAGCAGGATAAAGACTGTGATGAGCTTGACAAAGTGTAGCAGTAACCTCTCTTTCTCTCCCCGATGCCTTTGCTGACAATAGAGGGGAAAGGGAAAAAAAGGAGGTCTTGTCTAAATTCACTTCTCCTAAGGATAAGTCATAGAAATATGCCTAATGTAAGTCCAGAACAGGGATTGTTATGCTTGCATCCACTCCTGGATGGCAGTTTCTTGCCTGAACAGAAGTGGTGTTGCATTTTATGTCAGGGATAACTCAGTACTTCTCTATTTACTCACGTTGCATCAACTGATTTATTTTTTTTTTTAATAGGGTAAAAAATAATTCCCACTTTCCAGTCATGTTTCAGCACACTGAAAATCTTCCTGAAATGGATTTCAGGCAGCTCTCTGCACAATGAGCATCTTGAACAAGTTTCTGACAATCCAGTGAGGTGCTGCATGGAGTAGAAGTGTGCTGAAGAAGGAGGCTGTTGTGCACAGCTGACTCCTTACTAAGAGATGCAGACAGGGCTCTGTTCTTCTACGTAAAGTGACAAACACAGAATTAATAGTGCAGGAAGTCAAGATTCAGTTTATCTTATAATAACCAAGGGGCAGGTCCAGTCATAATAACGATTTACCGTTGGGATCTTTGATTCAAGCCCTTGAAGTGGAAACTATTATTTTAGTTACTAATTTTATCTCAAGTTCCTGCTAACATGGACTTTTCACAGGTGTAAATGTTTATCCACAGAGTCAGGCTAGGGGTGGATGCTCAAATGCTTTGAACCATTATCCCATGTTGAAAATAAGGCATAAATTAAATGCTTTTATAAATACCTCACCTTTTTCTTGTCATTGCAGGAAACGTGCAAATGGCCCTTCTTTAATTTCCACTTTGTCACACATCTCATCCTCACCAGCAGTCTGTCACTGTAATATATTAGTCTAAGTTAATGGTCTTAGTAGTCCAAATAGATCCAAATAGGCTTTTCCACCTCCCTGCTGGAGAGGCAAGAGGGAAATCAAAGATCTGTAAAGCGTCTGTCATCCTGCTAACAATGCAAGTGAACACAGAACAGAGCACAACTGCAGCCAAACAAAACAAAATCCAAATGGAATTAATGTTATCTTCTTGACATAAACTGGCAAATGCAAGAGCTGAAATGTCATCCCTAATTCACTGCTCTTCATGCAGAAATTGCCTCTCTCTAATGGCTTTTGCAGCCCCTGCCTTTCCTAATGCCGGGTAATTGATCTCGAAGCCTGGCAGGAGTTGGGCCGGGTGGATTGAGTCACCTTTGGGATTTCTCTGTTACAGGCAGACTTTAGTTCATTAGTGTAGTGCTAGATAATTTTTGACTAGTAACAGCACTTGTTATGTGGGGTAAGTGCCATAAAATAACGAGTTTCAGGACAATCGCTGACCTGCAGGATTTGTCAGGAAGGAACCTTTGCCTCGTGCTGTGAAGAATCAGATAAAGACCTAATTTTGGTGGTGATTTGCTCTGATCCATTAGTTTTGCATCACTCTTGTATCTTTTAGACCCAGAGATCCTGGTCTGACTTCTGTAGCCCCCCCCACAGAGAGCTCCTGTCCCTCCACTGCATCCTGGGGGAGAGGGCAGTTGGTGTCACACAAATGGAACTGCTGGACTCAGAGTTTGCCCTGTTCCCATTTGGGGAATTCCTTCAGAACAGAAAAGGGGAGAAGGAGGCAATGGTTCTACAATTTTTTAAATGCAGGTTTTCATGTCTTGAGCCAGCAGCTGAGTTACCAGGGCCTCTGAACACTGGACCAGAGTAAACCACTGTGTACCACGGGCCCCTCTGCAACAGTCTGGTGTGCACATCTGTCCCCCAGTGTACAGGAGGGGATTGCTTTTTAAATGGACCATTGATTCATCTTTTTTTTTTTCCCCCAAAGGAGAACTAGGCAATTTCTTGTGAATCTGTGTGTCTCTGAGTTAGTACTGTACTCCTTGCAATAATACCCCGGGGTACAGTGTTCATATCTCAGTATGGCAGAAACAATAGAATCAACTTAATCCTTTATATAAAATATAGTCTGGGTTTTCTTTTACTTCCCTACAGTTCCTTTTGGAAGACTGTTCAAAACCTCACTCAACTCATGGTTAGACTTTATAATTTCTTTATTTAAACATATTTCTGGACACTGCCTTGTCTGGTTGTAGCTTCTGCCTTTTTTTAGTACAAATTGCTTTGAGCTCATAGCACCTAAATACTACTTTAGTAGGGAAATTTTTATAATTTTTTAAAAATTCAGTATGTTTTATGTGCTTGTTCTGGAGGAGACACTGTGAGATGGAAAAGTGAGAAGTTCATGTGCTTAAAGTTTGGTAAAATCATGTATAAGTGACTTTGGCTTTAGGGAGTAAAGATGAGGCTGCAGAAAAATCACCTGCTTGAAGAGCAAGCATACATAAATCTCAGATCATGAATATGATATTAATGAAATAAAATAGCCTTATTAGATTTATCTAAAACTTTGTGAAATGCCTGATTATACATTTTTTTTTTTACATGTAAACTCTCATATTGTAGAGCCACTTTTTAGCAGAACCTTTACATTTAAATGAAATCTGGTCACTCACAGGATGACCTCAGTGTTTTTAATGGACAAGTCTTTTGAGTGCTCTTCAGTAAGACTGGTGATGGGTAACCAGTTGAAACTGTTTGTAAAAGAGACATGTAATAGGACTTTATAATATTGAACCTTTTTTTTTTTTAATTGAAAAGAGGTAGAGGCAGATCAAAGAAAGACTGGAAAGCTGTAAATCTCCTAACACCTTGTCATATCACCTGCTATTAAGATCCTATCACTTGTTATTAAAATAGTGTTCTAGTTGGCAGATCTTTAAATTTTCATAAGATTAGTGAAATGTTTTGGAAGTGAGGCTTTTGCTGGCACTGGTTTCCTCATGGAGATTCACCTCATTTAAAAACCTGGCCCTATAAGAAAATGAATTCTACTGGACATTTCTGATTCTTATGCCCTTAAAGTACTTGGCTGCTCTGAGTTTCTGGTTGTGTTTTTTGGGGTTTTTTTTGGGGGGGGGGTTGGTTGTTAATGTTGGGGGGGGTGTTGTTTTGTTTTGGTGGGGGTTTTTTTGTTTGTTTGTTTATTTTGGTTTTGGGTTTGGTTTGGTTTGTTTTTTTTTTTTAATACACAAAATGCAAAATCTAAGCAGGGTCTGGTTAGGGAAAAGGTAAGTATTGACAGACAAGAAAGATGCATTTCATTGCAATAAAAGAACATTTTAAAAACATTTTAAAAGCTGCCTACAGATTTTGGAGGTCAAATCTCTTTGAGAAAAGAAAATGATGGGGGATTTTAGGGCTTTTTGAGTGATGCTGTGTAAAGGTGCTTGAAGCAGTAGAAAATACAGGTGTGCAATAAAGCAACATCAGGGGCACTTCTTTTGCCTTGGTGCCCTGCATTCCTCACTGAGGAACAGCTGCACTGAGCAGGAGAGGCAGAGAAACTGTGCTTGGGCTGTGGATGAACTGCTCAGTCAACCTCATCCCCTGTTCTGGGGTTACTTCAGTAACTGAGCTGAATTTGATACAAATTTGCTTCTTCCTTTTTTTTTTTTTTGTCCTAACAGAACCTAGATAGTATAGGGCATATTGCTGGTTTTACTGCAAGCCATTTATACTTTGTTCATTAATGGTATTATTTACTCTGCATTATTTAATCCAGCCTCAAAACAGACTAATGTACCCTGGCAGTCTTCAAGGCAATATTGCCATAAAATATAGTACTATGAAATAATTACTTGCTCCTTTTACACGAGAATTTATCTATTACAGAGCTAACTTTTATCCTTTTATCAAAATTGAAGTCAAAGTGGAGTTCCACTATATTTCCTGGGAATTCTGCAAAACCAGATGAAACAAGTTATGTTATGATCTGTCAAGAAATGCCATGTGTAAAGTGAAAGTAGGTCATCGAGCTATGTTTTGATTTAAAAACCATGCTTGATTTGATCAGGGTCTTGGAAAATTCATCACAGGTTCTCCAAGATCTTGAGTAAAAAGTATTTTCCATTTGATACAGTACTGCTGTTCCTGTGCAAATGTAAGCAGCATAATAATGGCACGAGGTTTTTGTGAGGTTATCCTTTAGTCAGATTCTGGTTTCATGTTACCATTTGGTGCTTATATAGATTGAGCAAAATTACATTTGTTGGCAGTTGCTTCTTCCCAGTCCTGGCCAGTGTCTGACTGTTTTTGCTCCCATGTTGCAGTATGAATATATAAATTGGTTCTTAAAGCTGCAGCTTTTCCCTCCTGAAACTCAGGAGGTGTTTTGGTTGTTTTGGCTGTGGTTGTAAAATAAGTATGATGACAAGTAAAGATGAGCTGTGTGTCAATGCAAACAGCATTTTTAACTCACTGATTCTGTTAACTCTTCATACACTCACAGGGATGAAAATACATAAATATCTTGCTGACTAAGTCTTGCCCAGCTCCATACCAGTCTTAGTTGTATGGCACATAGAACAGAAATACTGCCTTTGTAAAACATTACCAGAGTGAGGTTAATGATGGGTCTCATCTGGAAGTTCATTTGCTTCTCTCCAGTACCAGATTTTTGGATTGCTTCAGGAGATGATGTTCTAATGGTGTTTTGATCAAATGATCTTACACACATTGTGTGCTTTGGCACAGAACAGAGCACCATTGGTGATTTTAAAAACGAAGCCTCTGAAATAATTTGCTTGAAATATTACCTTTTAAAATGCTGCAGCATTCACTACTTAGCATTTCTTAAGAGCTGCTCCCTCAGCTCTATGGATCTCCTCTGTCCTGTTAGCCATTGGTTTCCATTATCTGTAATTTCCTGGCTTTTGTCTGAGGCTGTTTTTTTTTTTTTTTTAATTTGGAGTGATTTTTTGACTGATTTATATTATTTCCTTATTTATAAAACTTTCCAGTGAAGCTGTTGCAGGATCAGAGTAAACCTGCCCTTATGAAACTGTACATACAAGAGGCAGAATATATATGCATTGTCTTAGAGGAGAAATAAATTCAATGGGTGTAAGAACTGTTTCCCAGCAGCTTTGCACGTTTGAGCATTTCTGTTCTTTCCTTCTGTTGTTCATTTCTCCAGTTTTCCTTCTGTAGAGAAGTGTTGTGCACGTACCTGTGGGATCAGTTTGATTTCAGAGCTGTGCTTTGTGCTTTTGAAGGGCTGAAACCCTTCCATTCACTGCACTCTGCTGCCATTCACGAGCTGCCCTCAGGAGCTGGCATTCTCTCCCACAGGACAGCTGATCCTGGAGCCATTCCTCATGTTGTGCTGTGTGTGGACACTTGGCAGAAAGTTCAGTATCAGCACAGTTCTCTCTCTCTCAGTGTTTTTTGTTCAATCACTGTAGAACTCGATATAAAGCAGAGCTGACCTAGGAATTTGCAGTAAAATTTTACAGACTGGTGGAAAAGGTAGTAGGCCACCTATTTCAGTCTGTTCTGTCCTAAACCTGCCTTCATCTGACATAGGAAATAAAAGAATGAGACTAACAGCATGTGCATTCTGCTGTTGTATAAACTCATTTGTAAGAGCAGAGACTATTAACCCTTCCCTACAAGCAATGTTGCAGAAAGTCCCAATACCATGAGCCAATGAGCAGAGCTACCCCTGGAACCTAAATGCACCAGCCATCTGCCTCTGCTCTCTGCAAAGTATTTTGAGAAGCATTTAAGCCAGCCAAATGCTGAATTTAAAGCATCAAGTCCCATCAGACAAGTGAACGACCTCCCAGAAATCAATGGGAAATGTTCCGTTTGCTTGATTTTATTGTCTTTGCTAGACATAAGATGGTAAGTGGATAATTGCAGATTTGTTTAAGTGGTATTTTACCTCCAAGAAAGCAGCAGTGATCCCATGTCAGCCTTCCAATTCCCTTGATTATTTAGGGCCCGAGGACAGACCGAGTGGGGCCGTTGCTCTTGGAAAAGGAGCACGTTTGTTCTCAGGGCCTGCAGTAGTGACCTGTCAGGCAAAGCCTCTGTTCTAAACAAGCTAAAACCCCCAAGGGGCCTGCTGTTAGCAGGGCTCTGTCAGGCCACTGGATAGCACTAGAAATAAAAGCAATGATTCTCGGGATCAATTCTTGCCAGAAATGTTGAATTGATAAGAATTACGAAAACTCTGGTAATGTTTTTTTGTTCAGTATTTAGTTTATTCTTTTCTAGCGGGACTCCCAATGGCTGAAGTGTCCAAACAGAACAGACAGGGTGCTTTTTGTGTTCATAATAAACTCAAATACAGTCCACAAAATAGCAAATGTGTTCCATGGTAGCTTTGATCTTCCTTCCAGCCAAAGTTATCCCGTGCATAAATGACAAATGCTTTCTAGGACCCACCTCACCTTTCCTTATGAGAGAGTGAATTGAACATGTTAACTATTTATTGTCCATCATTGTGTGTTTTCTGTATGAATGAAGTAGCCAGGAGAAAATTGGATGATTCACCTCCGTGTTTCTTTGGCCAAAAGTCTTTAATTAAATTGGAATTAAATTGCTTTAGTTCCAGCAACTATGAAATGTAATTATGTTATTTAGACCTTTGCTCCATCATGGTTTTAATCCAACTTAGGGCTGTGCTTCCAAAAAAAAAAAAAAAGGAAAACAAAGTCAGTCTTGTACCCCTTCCTTGTATCAATAGATATTTGTTTCACCTTCCTCTCTTGTACCAGCACTGCCAGTTCTAAGGATCTGAAAGGAAACGATCTGAGCTGGAAATGCATCCATCATTGCTGGGGTAATACAAACACGTTAGTTCCTCCCTTCAGGCTTCTCTGACGCAGTTGTTCTACTCACCCCTGAAAGTCTGCGTGAGGAAAAGGCAGACCTGAGGAAGTGGGAGAAGCCAGAGGGATGGCTGGACCTGCCCGTTGGGAATCACTTGGAGCTGTGGCTTTTCCCTTTGCCCCTTGATGCCAGCCAGGCCTCTGGGTGGTAAATCATTTCCAAAGGGATCAGAAGTACAGGGCAGTTCATTTGTGGTGCTCTGACCCTGAACAGCTTTAAGATCCCTGCAAGTGGTCTGGGAAGCTGCTGGGAGGTTTTCTTGGCACCCCTCATCCCTGCCAATTCCATGTGATTGGCAGGCATAATAGTTGGAATGTTGCTGTCAGTAACAGTGGTCAGGCAGATGGTTGCAATAAATAAACCTTTTGCTATAAAGGTTTTCAGCGTGAGTGGGTTTTAGTTTATATTAGTAAAAATTTTGCTTGATTAAAAAATAGTGTTTGTTGTCAATGACAAGAGGCAACTCAGCTTAAAGTAAAATATGTGCACTGTCAGCAACACTGGTTTATGATCTGACCTCTTATGTCTTCCAATAGCATTTTTGCATGATTTCTGCAAGGTAAAGGGTAACTTTTCTTTTTAATCTTTGTCTTCATTTGCATATCCCTCCCTTTCAGTTTGCTAGTTAAGTAACAGTGGCTGCTGTTTCCTCCAGCCTCTCTAATTACAGGATGATTGCTGCTGAGGGCATTGCAATTATTTGTGAGATTACACCTGCCTTTTCTTAGTAAATGAATCATCCTTAAGTGACAGTTTGACTGTTGATTGTGCTGGAATTAAGGAGGATTTAACGAGCAGGCTCAGATCTCACTTAGTGCTGTTCCAGACAATGTGCCATCAGTGTCAGCACTCACAAGGTGCTTCCTCCTGTGCCTGGTAACAGGATTCTGCTACACAATCCGTGAAGGAAGAGCTGCTGCTCCTGCCACTTTAGATGGAGGAGAGCAGGCAAACTCAATAATTGATACCAGCAGGGCTGATAGCACCCCCGGACACCCGAGACAGGCTGTTTAACTGCCTCAGCTGCTGCACCACTTGCTTTTCCCCTCCTTGGAAGAAGCAGGTGTTTGGCCAAATGATTCTCAGCTTGGGAAAGAAATGCTTTTCCAGTAGTTGACAGGAGAGCAGGATTAGGAGAGTCAACCTAGTTATATATACTCTTGTGTTACCAGTCTGATACTCTTATTTTGTCACTTGCTGATTTTAAAAGATGATATATTCTAAATGTGTTCACATTAAAGGGGGAAAACTCACATGGGCCTGTGAGAGAGGTGGATAATCAGGAAGAATGTTTTGGTGGTTGTTCCCTATATATACACCCTCAGGAGCTCCCTCTAAAACAAGTTGCATACTCTCTGCATTTATGAATGATGGTGTCAACTGATTATCAAATATTTCATTGCCAGCAGTGTTCCTAGTTTTGGATGCAGGGCAGAATTTCCCTTAAATATGTATTAGGTAAGATGGTGGAGGTTAGGGGATATTCCTGTTAATGGGATGGGACTGATTATTTATGTCTCTTCACAGCACCTGAAATTGTAACTGGTTTTGTGACTGATTTAGAAATGCATGAAATGCAAACTCTTCCACTGCTTATATGTTCTTTGGTGAAGTGTATGAATTTTCTAGGATAACACAGATGTTCAAAAAGTGAATTAAACCAGTGTAAATTCAGTTCCACCACATTTAGAATGCAAGTGAATGCTTGTAAGCTCTTCTTTCATGGTCAGTGAGCTCTGTGTCACATTTTAGTAAGTTATTTCAAATTCTGGGATAGCACAGGGAGAGCTGATTAGTTTTCCTGCTGTTCAGAGCAGGGGCTGTCCATTTATCCATATTCCTGACAACAGGAGTTTGGAGCCTTTGCCAAAGTGACCACAGTGCAAAGTAATTGTTAGCAAAAGGGCTTAATAACTAATAAATAACTACATAACTTTTATTGTTAAACCAGTTGTCTCCAGTAGAGAATTACTTCAAGTTAGAAGACTTTTTTCTTCATCTGTTATTTATAGTTTTCAAGATCCACTTATTGAATATTTTTGGCCTATATCTCACTTTTTGGATTTAATTTTGTTTCCAATCTGGTCATTCCACACTGGAGAAGTATTTCAACCAGCTGTTTTTTTTTTTCTCCTGGAGTTTCCCATTAGCAATATTTTTTTTTTTTTTACTGATAGGCTTGTCCTTAGGATATTTCAGTTCTTTTACAGCATATTTTGCTTTCTGACTTAAAAGCAGATCATACACAAATGGCATCTTTAATGTTTTTCTGTCAGATCTGAGTCTCCTCCCAAAAGGTTGAAAAAGAGCTCTTTGCAGTTGTTTTCAGTATTTCTGTAGTACAATGACACCTCTTGTTTTTTAACAGGATTGCACGTTCTTCACTCGGAAGGAAATCCTTCGGTGAGTAAATTGTATTAAACTTCTCCTTCGTGATCTCATGGAAGGGACTAAATCCTTTTATCTGACTTGTGAGGAAACCAAATAAGGCCAGTTATTTTGCATGAATGAATGAGTGTAGGATGGGACTTAAGATGCACTTATAATGTGTATTTGTTACAAGGAGACTGATGGTGATTAGCTTAAGGTCCCAGACTTTTCTGTGGCTTTGCATGGAAAGGACTTGCTGCTTTTCTGCTCAGTTATACCCTGAGGGCACATCCTTCAGTCAGGGCAGGTCCTGGTATGGGCTGAAGTGTGGGAAGAACTGGTGGAGCTTAAACTGCAGAGCACTGAGAATGTTTTAGTGCCAACTTCCCCACAGAAAGTCACACAGCTTGGGATCACTGTTTGCAATCAAAGGGCCTTGGGTTTTCTTTTGTAGTAGGGATGGATTGAGCCAAACTGAAGCCATTTCTGCCTATGTATATGCTGACTTCTTGCCACAGATCCTTGATCTTCTGACCAGTCAGGTTAAGGATCTGGGAAAGTATGACATAGATCCTGTCCTGTCACTACCCATGCTGTTTTTCCTGAGGATTTTTGCCCCAATAGAGGGGGAGAATAAATCTGGGGTATGTATCTAGACCTAGGAACTCATAATGCTTCGGGTTCTCAAATTTGAAAAGCTGCTCAGACATGAGAAACTTTGTTTTCATAAACATTGGGAACAGCTTTGAGATCAGGAGTAGACATGATCTCTGAGAGAAATGTTACTTGCCTCTGCTGTGTGGCTGTAGAGTTCAGGAACACTCATGGTCAGTGGCTCTGTCGAGGCAAAACTAGTGGGGTGCTTTATTTTTTGTTGGAAAAGTAGAGGTGGTATTTCAGCTAATTCCTTGCATAGCCTGTCCTCATTACTGCTGGAGAGGGGATGCTCTCACTCCTCAGCAGTGCACAGCACCTGAGACCCCTGTGCAGGAGGGACATTGCAGCACCACTGCCTGGGCATGTCCTTTGGTCCAGGTCCCTCTGAGGGTTGTTACAGTTTAAAATCCAGTCCTGTGGCTGGAGAACATTTTCATGAAGGACCACGGAGTTACTGAGTCAGGACGTGTGGGCAGGGGGGAGCTTGGCCCAAAGATAAGCTCAGCTTAATGCAGGCTGGCTCCTGCAGAGGTTCTGGTGCTCTCAAAGTGAGCCAAGGCTTTACAAGAAGGAGTGACCATGGCAGGGATGTAACTTCTTCAGCAAAGCATTGCTCAGCTCTGAACCTCCAGGAATGGCACGTAATCAACAGCTATAAACAAGTTCCGTGCTGTGTTTGTGGTATCCTGAAAAAGTCCTGCAGCTTCAGTAAAAATGAGTGGTCATTTTATGCTGGCGAGGCTGCAGCAATGTTAGTTCTGCTTGAGAACACTGGATTTGGCAAGAACAGAATTTGCCATCACAAATTGCTCACAGAAACAGCTGTGAGTCCAAACTAACTGAAGCTGTGTGGTTTAGATGTTGGAAGTGATTGGTGATATTTCTGGGCCAGCATTAGTTGCAGCATTTGGATATGGAATAAAAGATGTTCCCGTGCAGCCACCAGATCTCAGATACATACATTATATAGCCAGACAGAAAAAAAAATCCCAAATAGTTTAATTTCCTGTATAAAAGAGACCTTTAGCCACCCTCTAAGTCTTAAAAATCAACAGGTACTTTTCTTCTGTTTAACAGGGCTACCTTGACACAGAACTTTAGAAGAAGATTTGTTTGGATTGGATAAACTGAAAAAATTGCTTTATTTTTCTCAAATGTTATTTAAACTCAAATTTGTTAAAGCTTTATAAACAGTCAGTTACTTGTATTTGTACTGTGTTCCTGTGAGGGGAAATGGTTATTAATTAAGATTTTGACACATTACAAAAGTTAAGGTTCTCTTTGTCACTTTGAATAACTAATCTGTTCTGAGAATTGTGGGTGAAGTGATTTGTAAACTGTGATACTGGGTCATCCTGCTCTTAGGAGTAATTTCTTTTTCTCTTGTGGGATGATATCTAAGGAAATATTGGAATTAACCTGAAAGAATAATGGACTTCCAGTGCAGAAAGCAAAGTGACTTATTTTAGTACATGTGCACCTAAAATACATCTAGAGAAAAATTTGTGGACAAATAAGAAGCATAAAACATGTGCAGTACAGGCCCCATTTAAAGCATGTGACATAAAATGTGACCATTTTTATAACAAGACTGGAATATTGGCTGGGGAGAATGGAGTCAGAACTGTCAAATGCTGATAAAAGAAAGGAAATAAGGAATCAAACATCTTCACTGAAGCTGTAATTAGGAAACTGCTCAATCTGAGTAAGCAAACTTTTTATTTTTATAATCTGGAAAACATTTTCAAACTGTAACTTCAAACCATCATGTGCAACTGAGAAAATATGGAAAATGGACTTTGGAAAATACACTGCAGATTTCAAGAACAGATATTCTAAAGCAGTGAAATTTGAAAATGTCATTGCATGGCAGGCAAACAGGGATTTACAGTATTGCAAAATCTGGCTGTGGAATGAAGAGTCAGCAAGTTTTGTTCTCTTTTTCTGGGCTGCAGTGGGTAAAAAATACTTGTAGATAATGAGTTTGCAATGTGCAGCTTTGACAAGCAGATAAAAACTGGCTGAAATGAAGAGGTATTCCTGCATGGAATTGTCACAAAACATCCCCATGCATTCTTCAGTTTTCCTTGACACGTGAGACTGAGGTAAAACTTAGGTTGAAGTTTGATACCAGGACACTGGAGACAGTAAAAACAAATTATCTGGATTTGCAAACATTCTTTTAAACAACATTATTTTGGGGGTGATTTTTAGTGTATGCCATATCCAAAACCTGAGGCTGCACTGCACACAGGACCTGGGGCAATGGTAAGAACAGGTCCCACTTTATTCCAATAAGAGCACTCTGTTGTCCTGCAGGACATCTGAGTGGAAACTGAGCTTTATTTCTGCTCTCATCTAGGCAGATTGCACAGCACTACAAACTGCACAGTGCCAGGCAGAACACTCCATGTGTCTCTTTAATAACTGTGTGGTTTGGAACTACATTTGCAGGCAGATGATGTGCAATCTTTTTACCCTTCATGGCAAGCATGACAGAGTCGAGGGGTCACTGTAATTCCTTGGGCTTGGTGATAAAGGAAGCAGCACTGAACTGGGAGAGAGATTCTCCTGCTTTTCCAGAACAAGTGGATGCTTTTCTGTATGAGCAGGTTTGATGTGGGACAATGGGTGGGATGGAGACTGAGGAATTGGAAGCTTCTCCTCGCTTTCTTACTCTGTCACTGGTCTGTGTGAGCACCTTTGACAAGTTACCACTGTAATTAGCCTGTGTTACCCACACTGAATATTTTCATGCCTTTTTAAGTATGAGGATAATGTTTCCCTTGTCTTGTCAGTTTAGATTGAATACAAATTACTGTCTAAGGAATAGAGTAGAATCAAGAGGTGTCTCTACATGTCTGAGGAGAAGTTTTACCAAATAGGTATAAAATGGGTTATGATCCCCTAGTTAATTAGCACTTACTGATTTAGCATATCCCTGTCTCAGTGAAGAGGGAGCTAATTACTGCTGGGAATTTGCTTATGCACTGCAGAACATTCCCAGGTGTGGTGTTAAGAAGAGCAGGACGAGTTCTGTTCAGGCTGAACTGAATTTCTTTGTGAGATGATCCAGCAAGGAGTAACCTCACCAAAACAACAACAAAAAAAGCCCTGTCTTGCTCCTCACCCCTTTGCATGACTGTTAGTGAGGAAGAGGTACAGTTGTGTAGGTGGGGATGAGGGGATTAACATGGCAGCTTCAATTTAGATTGATTTAAACTGATGTAAACCAGCACGAGGTTGCAATTAGGTGAAATGGGCTAAGTGTTTTTATCTGTCCCTACAGGGAAAGTAGCCCCATCAAAAACCCAAACAACAGTAAATCTATTTTCTGCTGGTTTAATAAGCTGAATCAGCTCTCTGAGGGATCAGATGAGTGCCAAAGCTGGCACAAGAGCCAGAGTGAGCAAATGCAACTCCTGAAAATGAGGAGAGGAGAGCTAGGCTTAGCAAATCCCTCCCAGTGAGGTGTTGGATTGACTCACACACTGACTTCAGGGTGCAAGACTGTGGTGTCAGCATCAGCTTAAGTGAACAAAAACACAGGCTATGGTCAGAGGGGTTGAGGACACGATCTTCTGATTGGTGACCTGAGTGCAGATAGTTTGCAAATTATTAAAGAATAATAGGACTTATGAATTTTAAGTGAAGAAGGAATTAACACAGAATAGGAAAAAATGGATCTAGGAAAAGAATAAAATTAGACTGTGCCTGGTGAAAGAGAAGGCTGGAACCCATAGCTCACTCTTGGTGTTTGACAGGCATTTATCACCAGAAGACCTGTCAGGACACAACTGTGCTGCCTGGAAGGATGCAGAGCACACTGGTAGACAGTCAGTTCATAAGTGCCCAGAATACAACACATGTTCTGAGACAGCCACTGTGGATTTGTTAAAAGCAAATCTTCCTTTGAGTGGCTGTTCTTGTAAGTCAGAGAAAAGAATCAGGTGCAACATATCTTTATTTTGGTAAGGGGTTGTATTGCACTTGTGTGAGTGCACACACCTCTTGGGTAAGGTGCTGCTGAACACAGAAAGTTGGTGAGAGTGGTAAGAGCTGCAGACACTGTGAAGATCAAGATTAGCATTTTCAACTGTGCACAATATATTAGAGAAATTGTTAGATTCAAAGTGAGCAAAAGGAAATCCACACACTCAACTGAGAAAAGATTGCAAGTGTGGAATGGAACAAAAAAAAAAAAACGGGGCAGGGAGTTGGTGACCCAAGCAAAGGGAGCATAATTTTAACAAACACTCACACAGACCCCCTCCAGTGCTCTTGCAGAAAAGGGAAATGTACTGCTATGATGCATTGGCCTCAGCATTGTTTATAGAATGTGAGAATTCCACTCCAGTCAGCAGCGCTGGGGCCTC